GCCATGGTGGAGAGGAAGTGGAGGAACAGGATGTGAGCCAGGAAGGAGAGCGAAGCTGGGCCCAACTTGGCTCAATAACCAGCCCTCTGGCTGCTCCACTTTGACCCAGCTTCCTGCTAATGCTCTCAGGAAGGTAGAGGAAGATGGCTCAAGTACTCGGGCTCCTGCCATCCACACGGGGACCAGGATGGAGTTCCAGGCTCCTGGCTTCTGCTTGGCCAAGCCCTGACTGTTGAGGTCATTTGGGGAGTGAACCAATAGACAGGAGATCTCTTTCTCTTTCTGTCCCCTACTTCTACCCCGTAACTCTGCCTTTCATATAAATAAATGAACAAACCTTTAAAAAAATAAATAACCAGCCTTCTCCCAAGAACAACCCTCTGAGAGCAGGCCCCAGAAACCTTAAGACCTCCCAACAGGCCCACCCCTTGGATACCATAATTAGATCAAGTCCCCACCCTTAATCCCTCAGTCCTCAACTTTAAGACTTCAGGGTTTAAACATCTGCATGGATTTGTGGAGATTGGTTCTATTTAATCCAGTTTTGGCTCCCCAAAACCGATGTTTTCTGCACATACAACATAACAATCATCCCATCCCCCAAAGTCACAATGTCTTAATGCAGCCCAATATTAATGCCCAAGTCCAGAGTCCAGAGTCTCATCTGAAACTCGAGGCAAGCTCTCTTCCCTGTGACTCCCTGTGTGACCAAAAAGCAGTTTCTTACTTCTAAGATACAATGGCAAGGCAGGCACAGGCACATTTCCCTTACAAACAGGGGAGACAAGGAAATAGAAAGACTTGATAGAACCAGAAACCAGCAGAGCAAATGTGAAGTCCTAAGGCTCCATGCCTGCCACCCTGAGCACACCGGGATGGGGGCTGGGCCCCCAACGGCTTGGGCAGCCTCACCCCTACAGCTCTGCGAGGCCCACCCCATGCTTCAGTTTCCACAGGGTGGGCGTCTCATCTCTGCGACTCCAGTAGGCAGGGCCTTCTGCTGCAGCTCAGAGCCCTCATTTCTGCTCGGCAGTATTGTAGTGTGGGCTCCTTACGATGATGCTTATCTCCATCTCGGCCCTCAGTTTGTCCAGAACATCCTTGGGAATCTAGGTTGGAGCCTCTCTGGTTTTGCTGGTCTGTGTCCGTGTGGCCGATCCCTGAGGCTGCCTGCTGAGGTCTGTGTCTTCCCCAGGCTGGGCTGGCACCCTGCTGGCAGCTCTCCTTGGTGGATGGCCCATGTTGCTGGCACCTCTACTTTCCCAGGGTATCCTCAGCAGCTTCACCCTGCCCTGCTCCCCCTGCAGGGCTCCAGCCCTGCAGCACAACTCTGGTTTCCCAGCTTCCCTTTGAAATCTCGGTGGAAGCCTCCATGACCCCAGAACACCTGCAGCCTGCACACCTGCAAAGCCGGCATCATGGGACAATGCCAGGGTCTGGCACCAGAAGGAGACGTGCCGGGACCAGGCGAGCTTCTAGAGCTGAGCACCAGGGTCTCTCTGAAACAACTGTGTACCTACAGGCCTGTGAGGGCAGCGTGGCCTAATGCTCTCTGAAGTGCCTCCCGGCTCGTCCTCCCGTTGCCACGCCCGCTGACACAGGTCTCCCTGCCCTCGCACTCATCTTTGGCAAGCAGTTTCTCCACCTCACTCTCCAGTCTCGAACAAGACTCTTCTTTGTCCATCTCTGTCTGGCCAGGCTGAGAATTTTCCAAATCTGTCAGCTCTGCTCCTGCCTCTCACCGCACCTGTGCTGCAGCCCGAGCACCTTGCTGCCAAACAAACCCACCCACCACTTTAAAGATCAGCCGCCCACAAAGCTTCAGGATGGGGACACAATACAGCCAGGGTGGGTTTGGGTCCAGTTCCCCGGGGGATCCACGTTTCCATCTTAAACCTCATCGGCGTGCTCTGTACTGTCCACGTTTCTACCAGTGTCCTGGTACTACAACTGTGCGAAGTGTTCAGCTTTTAGCATTTTAGGCTTTCTCTAGCCTGCTCCTCCCAACTCTTCCAGCCTTCCCTAGGGAACCCGTTCCAAAGGGTCCTCCGTGCTTCAAGTACAGTTAGCAGTAGGAACCCCACTTCTGGTGCCAGTTTTCTGTGTTAGCCAGCTTTTTGTCACTTTAGCTAGAATACCTGAGAGGACTTTCTTAGGAAGTAAAAGGTTTATTTTAGCTTACAGTTTGGAGGTTCAAGCTCAGGACTCAATGTGTCACACACAAAAAAAATCAACTGAACACAAAGAAAGATAGAAATGGAGGAGGGGCCGGCCCCATGGCGCAGTAGGTTAATCCTCCGCCTGCAGCGCCAGCATCCCATATGGGCACCGGTTCTAGTCCCAGCTGCTCCTCTTCCAATCCAGCTCTCTGCTGTGACCTGGGATAGCAGTGGAAGATGGCCCAAGTCCTTGGGCCCCTGCACCCACATGGGAAACCAGGAAGAAGCTCCTGGGTCCTGGCTTCGGATCGGCACAGCACCAGCCGTTGCAGCCATTTGGAAAGTGAACCAATGGATAAAAGACCTTTCTCTCTGTCTCTCCCTCTCACTGTCTGTAACTCTACCTCTCAAATAAATAAATAAAATATTAAAAAAAAGAAATGGAGGAAATGAGGAACAACAAAGCTAAATACATATAGGAAATAAGTAAAAAAAAAAAAGAAAAAAAGAAAAAACAGTCATTCCCTATCAGTAAGTACTTCAAATTTAAACAGATTAGATTTCCCAGTTGAAAATTACAGATAGGCAGATTGGGTTAAGAAAATAGGATTGGGGACTGGCATTTTGGCTGCTGCCTGCCAAGCTGAATTCCATATTGTACCTCTGGTTCAAGTCCTGGCTGCTCTGCTTCCAATCCAGCTCCCTACTAATGTGCCTGGGAAAGCAGTGAATAATGGCCCAGGTGCTTAGGCCCCTGCCACCCACATGGGAGGCTTTGGGCCTGGCCCGGCCCTGGTGGTTGTGGCAATTTGGGGAGTGAACCAGCAGATGGAAAACTGATCTCTCTCTCTCTCTGCCACTTTATCTTTCAAATAAATATGTCTTTAAAGATGATCCAGTTCTTTGCTATCTACGATTAAACTCACTTTAGAGCTAAGGACATGCATACGTTGAAAGAGAAGGGATGAAAAAGATACTCCATGCACAAAGTAACCAAAAGACAGTGGGGAATGGCTATATTCATATCAAATAGACTTTAAGATTAAAAAGCTTTCAGGTAGATCACCTAATTAGAGACTTAAATTACTAAAATCAGAAATGAAGGTAAAGACACTACTATAAAATGTATAGAAAAATGCTTTACAGAAATACCAGCACTATAAAGATTAATATGAGCAGTTGTATAAAGTCGTTGACTATTCAGTACGCTGCATAACCTAGAGGAAAAGCACGCAGTTCTGGAAACGCGGAACTCGACAAGACTACATCATGAAGAAACAGAAAATCTAAATAGACCTGCGATGAGTCAGGAGACTGAATCTATACCCAAACCTTCCAGGGAAGAAAGTCCAGAGCACCCACTACTTAAAATGAATTAACACCAGTCTTTCCCAAACTCTTGGCAAAAGTTAAAGAAGAAGGAAGACTTCCCCACTCATTCTCTAGGGTCAGCGCTGTTGTTACCAAGCCAAAGACACGACAAGAAAACCTCAGGCCAATACCCTTGTGAATGCTGATGCAAAACTCCTCAACAAAATACAAGCACAGGGCCGGCGCCGCAGCTCACTAGGCTAATCCTCCGCCTTGCGGCGCTGGCACACCGGGTTCTAGTCCCGGTTGCCCCTCTTCCAGGCCAGCCCTCTGCTGTGGCCCGGGAGTGCAGTGGAGGATGGCCCAAGTGTTTGGGCCCTGCACCCCATGGGAGACCAGGAGGAAGCACCTGGCTCCTGGCTTCGGATCAGCGCGGTGTGTGGCTGCAGCACGCCGGCTGTGGCGGCCATTGGAGGGTGAACCAACAGCAAAGGAAGACCTTTCTCTCTGTCTCTCTCTCTCTCACTGTCCACTCTGCCTTTCAAAAATAAATAAATAAATAAATAATAAATAAATGCACAGGGCATTCAACAGCCCCCGGGAAGGACGGCATGCTGGGAGCAGGTGAGGTTTCCTCCTGGGGTGCATGGTCAAGTCAGCCTGGGAGAAGCAGCGGACGCCAGGCACCACATTAACACAAGCAACAAAACCCCACACGATCATTCCCTTCATGCACACCGAGAAAAGCACTGGACAAAACTCAGCACCCTTTCACGATGAAAATAGCAAACCAGCCATTAAGAGAAAGAAACCTCAGGAATACACAAGCCAGCCATGACACAAGCCCAGTGCTGGCCCCCGGCCCGCCCGTTGCCCAAGGTTCTGCAAGAACTCTGGCCAGGGGCTGGGGGCCTGGGCCCCTTTACTCCAGGGTACAAATTCCTCTTTCAGGTAGCCCCACTTTTTAAATAAACCCTCATCTTTGGCCACACATGGTATGTTAACTGGTCACTTTGCACCAACAGGTGCTACGAGATGGTGGCGTTTCACCCACTCGCGTGCTGCCACACCACCCTTCGAAAGCTGACGCCCTTGGCTGCTGCGTGGAGGGGAGGATTGAACTCAGAGCCTACCTTTGCTTCCCTCAGCCCTCCTTTGGGGGGCAGGCCCGGGCTCTGGAGCTCCCTGCATATCTGAGGCTGGGAGGAAGAGTGAGCCCCTCGCCTCATTTCATAACCGGGGCAGTGAGGACCCCACCAGAGAAAGAAACGTGCTCCGAGTGTGGGAAGGCCGTCCTGCCTAGAATCAGTGATGCCCAGCCCGGGCCAGAGCTGCCTGGAGACAGCTAAAGAAATATGGATGCTCAGAGCCACACACTCATAAGTGTCCTCTCACAACAGCCTGGACAAACAGGAAGCGCTGACCTTGAGGCTCCCTAGGGCCAACTTCCTGTCTTTAAAGATGCTCTCCTCTTTCTCTCTGGCCTGTGATAAGGCCAACAGGCCCGCCGGCCCGTGCGCTGTCACTTACCCAGAGCAGTGAGGGAGCCGTTAGGTGGCGGCTGCGGGGCGGTGGGAAGTCTGGGCTGGAGAAGGTGGGGAGAAATTTCCCTCCAGGATGCCCCACGGGTCGGGCCCCTAAGGCAATCAGGCTCTGCTGGTGTTGAAAGGAGGGGAGTGTGAGGGAAGGGTCCTGGAGCAGCAGGAGAGGAGGCAGCAGTTGGTCGTTGGAGGCAGTTGGAGAACGTTCCAGGGAAGTTCCAGGGAGGAGCCGGGATGTAGGGCCGGAGAGAATAGGAAGAGAAGGATGGGCGGGTTCCCGGCATTCCTCCTTCCAAGGATTCTAAGGAAAGGCATGGAAATGGCAGAGACGATTCTCTGACTGCGCCTCCTACCTTTCCCCAGGACGCTGCAGAGGCACAGAGAGAGGTCTGCAGAGGGGTGGAGATGGGGTGTCCTGCAGCAGACCCCCTGGAGCCAAAGGCGCTGCAGCCCCTCCAGCAGAGCGGTGGGGTGGGGTAGCCATCAGAGTTCCTAGTCTGGGGGAGACTGGAACCTTCCTCTTCCCCTTCCCCAACAAGCGCGAACTGGAGCCTACCCAAGGATGGAGAACCCCACGGGACTCAAGCTGCCGACGTCTGCTGAGCTGGCCTAGACTGGGGATTTGCCGGGTAAACTTCTCCCCCAACGGGCAAGTGGGTGATGCTGCCACAGAGGACAAGCCCGGAGTAGGTCCCTGGGTTTCCTGCTGCACATTAAGTAACCACAGCCTTGCTTGCCTTTCTAGAGAATTCCTCCCAGGAAAATCAAGGAATCAGTGGAAATCCCTACCCTAAACCAGTGGCTCTCCACCCTGGCTGCACATTAGACCCCCTGAGAGCATTCCGAAAAATACCCATGCCAGGCCCCACCCCTGATGAGTGACTTCGGCCTCTCCAGAGGCTAAGGGGCAAGCATCAGAACGCTGCCCCGGTGATTCAAATGAGCAGTCAGGCCTGGGAATCCCCCCAACAAATGCAGGTGGGAGGGGGGCACTTGCCAGACATCGAGGGTACAAGGACCTACAAAATGCAGGCTTGGTCCTTGATCAGCTCACAGCGGAGGAGGGGGGTCTGCGTCAAACCCACCACCAAGGAGCAGGTGTGGAACCTAACGGGCAGCAGGAGGTCCACGTCCCACGTAGACTGATGGAGTTTCATTCCCGGCTCTGACTCCTGAGTCCAGCTTCCTGGGAGGCAGCAGTGATGGCTCAAGTCATTGGGTTCTTCCCGCCCACAGGGGAGACCTGGATTAAGTTTTCTCCTCCTGGCTTCAGCTCAGCCCAGCCCCAGCTGTTGTGGGCATTTAGGGAGTGAACCAGTGGACGGGAGCTGTTCCTCTCTCTCTCTCTCTCTCTCTCTCTCTAATAAATTTTAAAACACACACATTAAAACCAAGCAGAACAGAATTTCCCACCAAGTGCTGAGACCGGGGTAACGGCAAGTGTGAATTTATCGGGTCTTTATCTATTTTATTATGGTTTAGCACGTTGGGGGCGTTGCTGGTCTGGAGACACCGTCCCTCCCAGGGCTAGCTAATTCCAACTTGCCCTGGGAGCATGCCTTCCACAGGCAAACCAGCCAGTTCCTCCCCAGCCCTTCCTCTAACTACTCTCTTGCACCAAGCCAACGTTCCTGCTGTCCTAAATCACGCCGGAGCCGTTACCAGACAATGAAGGCGCCCCCTGCGGTCCAGAGCCCACCAGAATTTTTCCATCATCTATCCAGTTCTGAATCTGCTCAGTGGCTTGACCGCCCCCCTCTGTCCTCCCCCAGGAAAGCACAGTCGGGGCCCTGGGCCATGCTTTCCCAGGGTTCCTCCTGCCTCCTGATGGGCCCAGCAGCTTCCCCACGTGGCCTGGGTGCCATCTTCTCTTGCAAACTGTAGGTAATATTTTTTTTTCGGTGACAATGGCCTCTCCCTGTCATCACTCGGTCACCATTACAAATTAAGCCCCGCCTCCAAAGTACGAATGAGAGAGTGTGGTGATCTTACAGGGTGAGGACCAGGGAAGGCTTGGAGAGGGACGTGTGTGCAAAGGCACTGAGGCCTGGAAGGGCATGGCAGCTGGTGGGCTGGGAGCAGGATGGACCTGCTGGGGCACTGCGCACAATGGACGGAGTGGGTACAGGTAGAGGCAGTGAGAGGCTTTGGGTTGGATCGGGGGATCTCAGGGACAGCGCAGATGCCACCCATTAGCACTGTCACTCAGCCATTCAACATCTGCAAGAGCTGGTCAGGAGGAGCGGGGCAGTTCTACAGCTGGGGAACCCCAGGGATGGCGAGGGGCTGGTTCTTCCTGAATAAGAGCTGACTTCTACGCTTGCCTGCTCTCCAAGTGCGCCTGCTGGACCCATTTCTCGGTGGGATTAACGAGGTCACAGCTGAGGGGCTTTGGGTCAGACTCATGGGCCTACTGCTGGCAGCCCGTGGCCTTGGTGAAGTTTCCTGCGCTCTCTTGTCCTGGTTCCGCGTCTTCATGGTGTTGCTTAGAGAGGGGCGTTTGCAGTGAGCCCTAAAGGCTGTTTCTCCTTGCAGGCAGCCAGGGCTCCCCGCTTCAGGGCCTGCCCGGGCCCCCCACTCTCACATCCAACCATGTGTCACTGCAGTCCCATTACAGCCCCTTGATGTTCCCCTCACAGCCCCTGGCCCCGTGCACCTGACTGGGGCCCCCCAAAGGCTCTCTGCAGTGGCTCTGTGCATCGTGCCTTGGGCATTCTCGGTTTGAGGGCTGATGGCTGTGGCACTGCCCAGGGGAGGAGTGGAGGCAGCTGAGTCATTAGCCCCAAAACCACTGTCGGCCAAGTGCACTGGGAGCTGTGAGAGGCTTGACCTGTGGGTCAAGAGCACTTGTGGACACTAGTCAAGGCATAAAGATCAGGCCAGGGAGGAAGCCAGGTTCTTGTTCTTCACTGGGAAAGTCATGTAAGACCTGGGAGGTGGGAAAGGGCAGGGGTGGCGCTGTGGCGCAGAGGGTCAAGCCGCTGCCTGCAGTACCAGCATCCCCGATTGGTGCCGGTTCAAGTCCCGGCTGTCCCACTTTCAATCCAGCTCCCTGATAGTGGCTGGGAAAGCAGTGGAGGATGGCCCAGGTGCTTGGACACCTACACCCGCGTGGGAGACCTGGACGGAGTTCCAGGCTCCAGGCTTTAGCCTGGCCTGCCCAGCCCTGGCTGTCGTGGCCATTTGGGGAATGAACTTGGGGATGGAAGCAAAAAACAGAGAGAGTGAGCTCATGGAACGGGCTGACATTAACCTCTCAGCCGGGCCCTTGCTCTCTGCTCTTCTGTGCCCCTTATCGCTGTCATCCCTTTTCAACCTCACAAATACCGGTGGGGGTACAGGGTGATTACCGCCATTTTCAGACAAGGAACCAGGCATGGAGAGGATGAGGTCCAAAGTCCATGGCCAGGCCGTGCCGACTTGGCCGCTGCTCTTTCCTGTTGCGCTCTGCAGGATGTCCTGTCCACCTCAGAGCACTGTGGCGGGCGTGTGTGTGTGTGTGTGTGCGTGTGCATGTGCACGTGTGTGTGTGTGTGTTTAGATGACTGAGCACCTACAGACTGCTGAGTGTGACGTCACTGCCCAGCCTCTGTGTGTCTCACTTTCAAAGTCCCTTCCAGGCATCAGGGACCTCCCCAGGCCACCCTGTGGGACAGACCACTGTCTGATGGGGGAAAACAGGCTGGCCTGGGGCCCAGGCCATTTGTACCTGCAGCACAAGGACTTCTTCATGGACATGGCAGGGAGCGACTTCTAATGAGAAGTGTTGTAGGGATTTTCTGTCTTGATTGCCAAGGAACTTACAGGTGCTCACATGAGGCTTGGCTCTGACCATCTCTTTTTTAAAAAAAAAAAAAATTGGCCGGCACCGCGGCTCACTAGGCTAATCCTCCGCCTAGCGCCTCCGGCACACGGGGTCCTAGTCCCGGTCAGGCACCGGATTCTGTCCCGGTTGCCCCTCTTCCAGGCCAGCTCTCTGCTGTGGCCAGGGAGTGCAGTGGAGGATGGCCCAGGTGCTTGGGCCCTGCACCCCATGGGAGACCAGGAAAAGCACCTGGCTCCTGGCTCCTGCCATCGGATCAGCGCGGTGCACCGGCCGCAGTGCGCCGGCCGTGGCGGCCATTGGAGGGTGAATCAACGGCAAAGGAAGACCTTTCTCTCTGTCTCTCTCTCTCACTGTCCACTCTGCCTGTCAAAAAAAAAAAAAAAAGAAAAAGAAACTCCACCACAACAAAACAAACAACACGGATAAGAAATGGACCAAGGAATTATACAGACATTTTTCAAAAGAGGAAATCCAAATGGCCAACAGACACATGAAAAAATGTTCAGGATCACTAGCCATCAGGGAAACGCAAATCAAAATCACAGTGAGGTTTCACTTCACCCCGGTTAGAATGGCTTTCATACAGAAATCAACTAACAACAGATGCTGGCGAGGATGTGGGGAAAAAGGTACCCTAATCCACTGTTGGTGGGAATGCAAACTGGTAAAGCCACTATGGAAGAGTTTGGAGATACCTCAGAAATCTGAATATAGTCCTGCCATACAACCCAGCCATCGCACTCCTCAGAATCTACCCAAAGGAAATTCAATTGGCAAATGAAAGAGCTGTCTGCGCCTCCATGTTTTTTTGCAGCTGAACTCACAATAGCTAAGACATGGAATCAACCTTAATGCCATCAACAGAAGACTGGATAAATAAATTATGGGATATGTACTCTATGGAATACCACACAGCAGTAAAAAAAAAAAACAAAATCTGGTCATTTTTAACAAAATGGAGGAATCTGGAAAACATCATACTTCATAAAACAAACCAGTCCCAAAGGGACAAATATCATATATTCTCCCTGATCAGTGACAACTAACTGAGTACCTAAAAGGAAACCTGTAGAAGTGAAACTGACACTAGGAGCAGCAATGACTTGATCAGCCCTTGTCCTGACTGTCGAGGAACAGCTTACTATTTTATTCTTTTTACTATTGTCTTTTTCTACTTAGTACCATTGGTTGAACTCTTTACTTAACACAGAATTATTCTTAGGTGTTTAAATCCAATTGAAAATTGATCCCTGTAAAAAAAAATAAGAGTGGGAATAAGAGAGGGAGGAGATGAACAGTTCAGCATAGGTTCTCATGGACTTACACCTAAGGGTAAAGCTAAAAACTTGCCATAAGACTCCAAATCCCATTAAGTTGACAGGTCCTAATGCCATT